ATCATATAATTTATTTGTTTTTGTTTAGGTATATCAATCCACCTTTTATAATGGAGTGGAGTAAATGATAGAACAATGTAGTCATACTCACTAGCAAAACGTGCTTGCTAATTTCTAATAACTCTTTCCAACTTTTTAAAAATATTCAATGATATTTTTTGCGTTGTACGATCGATATCATCACTGCTCTTGCCTCTTGTAGCTAGGACCACGTACCTTCCCCTTCAAAGGATGAGGATTTACAAATAAATAAATAAAAAATAACGTTATATCAATTAAAAGTATACATTAAGATAATTTTATATCATGATATTAAGATAAATATATACCGGCAGAATTGAGAATGGTCTCAAGTGCGGCTGAGGTAATAGAATATGAACTTGAAGATTAGTAGCCTTGGATAATGAAGCAAGGATCTTAGCTTAAGGATCTTAGCTTGAGGAGTTGTCTGAGATAATGGATCCTTGGATGATGCCTTTGACAAGAGAGCTTCTCATAGTTTGTGGTAAAAACTCTATTTTCTTACCAATTCTTATTAGAAACCGTAGTATCTGCAAAGAGAAAAACGAAAGTGACCATTTTTAACAAATAGACATGCATGTCTCCATTCTAGACCCTTGTTTAACAATATCTCTGTAGAACCTATGCATACAATTTATTAAATAATTTCCAGTAAAAACCAAAATATTAATCCTTTTTTTTTTTTATGTGGCGGAAAGATCAAGATTTTTCATGAGAATTGGTCGAACTTGATAGCTTCAACGGCACACAACAAGATGAGCGAGAAAGCATCGACGGCGTGACATGAAGACCTGCACCATGTAGCAGGTGCCCAAGTATTCAGTATGTCTCCAAATGTAAACCATAACCTAAAACTAAAACAAAAATATGGATGATCTAATAACCTTTAAACAATGCTATAACAAAATCATTCTTAACCACGAGACAGTTGCATTGAGTATGTAAGAGAATTTTCGGCTCATTTGCCACCACTAGGTAAAATGTGGTGCACTGGAATTTGAGCAGATAAAAGAAGCTATATGACTGGAATTAATGGTTTAGTGTTCTCCTTTCTCTCGCCCGTCACTATATATAGGTTATTAGATTAGGTCTTACCGTCATAGTCATGTCAAACTCACTTTCTAACATCGGGATGCGTGCCACCGCTTGCTTTAATTTGTTGGTAAGATCGACTACAGTAGAGTCACAATGCTTCCAGGAGGAAGTGGATCATATTGATGTCTAGGCCTTAGGCATGTGCCCTAAGCCGTCGCCTCATCTTTGTGATTGGTTCTTCGGACAGTGCAACGTCATGGAGAACATTCCTTTCATCGCGTAATGATGATATTCCCATGTGATGTCTTTCATAGTTCGACTCTAACTTATACATGGCATTGAGTCGACCCTCCAAGTTGAGCGTCTAGATCCTTCAGCTTGACCGAGTCAACAATGGTCCTTGATTGATTCGATGTTGACTACATATCAGAACAATAGTTATCAAAAACAAACAAACAGAGGTATCAAGTAAGCAGATTATCTAGAATTGTTTTAACAGTTTCTATTCAGTGAAAATCTCCGTACTTCATTTTGCAATGAAGATCTAAAGACCTCAAAACTGCTGTGTTTTGCGAAGGTCGAGAACCCCACATGTAATTTCTCAAAAAATTAAATGTCCTGAGAAGATTGAAGGGGGCTAAGTGAAATGGTGTTAGCTAGGATACATGTGATTAACAAGAACGAATATAAAAATTTGAGTTTTGGAAATATCCAATTGCATGGAGCCAAAAGCAGTTACATCAATTGTATATTATTGTATACACTTTATGGTATAATGTGTTTGGTACAATAGTTGACATAAATTATTAGAGGGATGGACCAACTTTCAAAGTCAGCTCAAATGGGAAAATTACCTAGGATATCGGTCAAGTCTATTGCTGCGTACCACAAATTCAAGAACGGCTGAAAATTGCATTGAGAATGATTTTTCATTTTAACATTAAAAATTTTAACATGGGTTTGGTCCAAACTTAGAAGTGCAAAAACAGTTCGGTCGCGATACCTCGACGGATTTTCAAAATATTTGAAGAAGAAAAATTAAAAAGGCTTGGAGAGTTAGATTCAATAACTACCGTCCCTTCAAAAAGTTGATTTATAGCACGACTTAACCCATGATGTCTTGTATATAGATGGCTCGATCAATCTTTCGATGTCTAGTATAGCACGCCAAATTTGACATTAACTACTGGCTGGAATCAATCTACAAATACCACTTTTTTTTTTTTTTAATGGATTACAGGCAGTGTAGAACTTGGGTTTCACTTGTTATCACTTAGTTATCATCTATCACATCTATTATGGGTTGTTGCTTAGTCAAATCTAATTATGCAGACAAATTAAGATGTCTCAAGTTTAAAAATCAACCACAAATTAGTGCACTTTGGAATAATGATTTTGCGGAGATTAATGCGTACGGTTGAATTTATTATTTTTTTACGGAAAAATGATTTTCATAGAATCTCTCCAAAACAAGTTCCAAGCATCGTGTTTAGGTTATGTTAAGAAACAGTAACATAGTAGTTGAAAGTATATAAATTCGACTCCTCCATCGATTTTAGTTGTTGTAGCTCTTTCGCAATGAATTATTTTTGACGAACATCTAAAAAAATTAATTTCGTCATTAAACATTTATACGAAAATTGAAGTTTCAGCTATGAATATTAGATACATAAGTTTAAATCTAGCAAGATAGTAAAAATAAAGGTATCATGTTATTGATTTCTCTAATCTTTTTTCATTTATGTGTTTTTCATATTACGCAAAAAAATTAATTTTTTTTAAATTATTGTAGTAATTGTAAGCTAATTGCTTTTAAGGGTAAATTACCGTTGGCTCCTCAACCTTTATCTTCTCCTGTACTTTTACCCATAATTTTTATTTGAAATTACGATTTCAACATTTCATTTATTAAATTTCTTTCTTTGTACCGTGTAACGTCTAAAAATCTATTAAGTCGTATATATTCATATCATTTTACATTGCTCTAAGAAGATCGTGATATTCTTCAATTACTAGTAGGGTTTTAAATGGATTGAATCAAGTCAGGCAGCTCACCCACTAGTAAGTCAGCTTGCGCTCATATGTGGAGAGAGCTGAGCATGCTTCAACTCGCTTTATCGAAGTTTGACTCAACTTGCTCACGAACTCCCTCCTTGGTGGGATGAGCAAAGTCGACTCATCAATTTTTTTAAACGAAAATTACATTTACTTATGACAACAAATCGACTCCCACGAGATATTCGCTGTTCGGCTTGTTGGTGGGTAACTCGCCCAATTAACACCTCTAATTATTAGTCGATGGCTCATCATAGTTACATGATGAGAACATTTTTTTTTTCAATTACACATTTTATTAATTTTTTGAACTCATTTTCAACCATTTTGGAACACAATCCTTTCATAATGTAATAATATACTTACACAAGCAAAGAGAGCATCTTCGATGATGGTGTAAAATTGAAATCTCTATAACTACTTTTATATCTTCATTTACATCACGTCATATCTAAATTTAAATTCTGCTCTAAGGAGAAAATATAAATTCGCCTTTTGCCTCTTGTAAATGTAATACATCTTTTTCGCATTTTCCAGCTGGAAAATGTAATTTTCATTTCATTTGCATCTCTCCAATGGATCAATAGAGAGTTTTTCGATCACTTTGAAGATCTGAATTATAATTTAGATCTATTTTTGTCCATATTTAACAATTATTATTTAATACTCTTTAATTTGTATATCTTTTTCAATCATATATTTAGGCCATGTTTGATCCCCAATAATTTTTTCATTCTTATTCTTCTACTAATTATCAACCATATGTTTTTTAATGAAATAATATTTTCCATCACATCAATAACTTTTCCTTCTTTTTCAATCACATATTCCCAATCATATTAAGAGTAAAAATACATTCTTTTTTCAAAAATGTGCACCAAACGAGGCTTATACAATAAGATATTTTGTACTTAAATTTAAAAAAAATTCTTACTTTTTGAGCAAATATTTCTTTGAAAAATCACCATTTAAAACTTTATTTTTTCATCAAAGGACATACATCACCATTGGGTTTGGGATGCTCTGAAGTAGCACAGGGTGACATGGATAAAAGTAGACACAGGGACCCACACAGACAGTCCTGCAGTGAAGAGGTCACGGGCGGCTGATAGCTCCTCGGGAACTGCAAATCCTTTTGACAACTCTCCCACCCACACCACAGTACTGAGTACTGACCTATACTCTACGTATGGCTGGCTGTAGTTCAAATGGGGTACAACTTTTTATTATATTGTAATCATTTTATTCCAGATTATAGTTCTATAAAGGCAATGCACTTTTTTTCACCTTTTTACACAGATCCATCTAATTTTTTGAATTGAAACTTCAACACCCCCAGAAAACTTAAAACTATCCATATTTTGACATTTCAAGAGAATTTCTCCAACTTTTTAATGCTGAATTCTAGTCCCATCTCCTTTAAAGAATGATGAACTGGCACTGATAAAAGGAATTTGCTTGTAAAACTACAAAAGCCACAGCTATAGCGAAGAACAGTGGTTACAAGCAGCATACAGCCAATGCATATTACCAACAAAATGTATTTTTAATATGTACATAGAATGTGTAGGTGGCCCCAGCTGCTAATTCTATGGGGCCGACTTTGAAATATATATAGAGATAAAAGAGATTGGACGTCGAAGAGAAACCTAAGAGAGAAATTAGAGAGAGAGAGAGAGAGAGAGAGAGAGAGAGAAAATATGTTCTTTCTTTAACCTTCTTCGTTTTTGGTGTTTTCTTTCCAACAGATAGATCTGTAAGAATTGTCCGAAAGATTATTGTTTTTTTGGTTTTTGAAGAACCTGTTGTTTCTTTTGTTTTCTAGTAGTTCTTAGGTTCTGAAACCTAGTTTTTATTTTTTTGTGTGTGTAGAAACCAAAACTCAAATGATGTCTGGTGATGTTTGTTCTGTTTCTTCAGTCAAAGCGCTCCTTCAAGAACCGGAAAAAAACCCGAATCCGAAACCTGACACAAACCCTAATGTCAAGAAGAGAAGAAATCTACCAGGAACACCAGGTATAAATTTTTTTTTTTTTTTTCATTTTTAAACAGCAATCTTGAATAGTTATTTTTTACATTTTCTAGTTTTTAGCGACTATGGTGTACACCAGTATGATCCCTTGTACGGACGGGACACTGACCGTAGAGGACTACTTTGAAGAAATTAGACGACTAAGCTCACTTTGAATCACCCTTCTAAAGACTTACACTGACAATTTGGATTTAGGGTTTAACAAGATATCTTCTTGTTTCAACAGATCCAGATGCAGAAGTTATGGCTCTTTCACCAAAGACGCTCATGGCCTCTAATAGATTTATCTGTGAAATCTGCAACAAAGGTTTCCAAAGGGAACAAAATTTGCAGCTTCACAGAAGAGGGCACAATCTCCCATGGAAGCTTAAGCAAAGAACTAACAAAGATCAAGTCAAGAAGAAGGTTTACATATGCCCAGAAAAGACCTGCGTTCACCACGACCCGGCCCGAGCGCTCGGAGACCTCACCGGCATCAAGAAGCATTTCAGCAGAAAGCATGGCGAAAAGAAATGGAAATGCGAGAAATGTTCAAAGAAATATGCAGTTCATTCGGATTGGAAAGCTCATTCTAAGACTTGCGGTAGCAGGGAGTACAAGTGTGACTGTGGCACACTCTTTTCCAGGTATTTAATTCAATCTGAATATATATTCTTTGTTTGGGAATATCTGGTAGAATTAAATGCTCATGGATTTGTCTCAACTTTAATTAATTGCATACTTTTGAGATTTGAATTTATTGCCAGCAAATTATCAGGTAATAATTATTTGAAAATCTTAACAGGAAAGATAGTTTCATCACTCACAGAGCTTTCTGTGATGCCTTGGCTGAAGACACTGCAAGAATGAACTCTATTGGAGCCAACAATTTGAACTTCATAAATGATCTGAATGGGAATCTGATGAACCCTCCTTCAAATTTGCCTCTTGGGTTATCTGGTTCTACTGGAATTACTCATCTTAGCAGTGGCGGATATAGGCTAGACGATGGCAGCTTATCCACCGGGAAGCCAAGATTATCACTTTGGTTGGATCTGGCAAATTCTCAGCTCAATCCCATTGATATTTCATCTGTCAATTCCAATCTCATTATGCCTTCAAATTCAAGTGGATTTCCTGATATGATGCAAATGACGTCCAATAATGTTTTTGGCCAATCTTCAATGGGAAATTATGCAAATCTTTCCTTATCGGCTTTGCCACCAACACAAGGACTAAAGGAAGAGGCAGCTAGTAGAGGGAGTACATTAATGGTGGATTCCCCAACTTCCCTGTATTCTGAAAATCAAAACCAGCAAGCAAAATCTTCGGCACCCATGTCTGCAACTGCACTTCTCCTAAAAGCAGCTCAAATGGGATGTACCAAAAGCAATCCAACATTACACGAGAACACTCTAGGAGTGATGAGTTCTTTTCCTTCATCATATTCCAATTCAGTGCAAAATAGAAGTGAAATGCACCAGGGTTTCGGCAAACAACAGGAGAATTCAACCGCGAAACCCACTGATTCTGCGATGGGAGCTTCAAATTTAACCTCTTCAACGAGCAGTAGAATGAACAGCCTTGATCAGTCTTTTCATCAAACAGATGGGACGCCAAGTCAGACGGCTTCCCCTAACTTGAATTCGGGGTTGCATGGATTATATCACAGTCTAACGAGAGATTTTCTTGGCATGGGAGGAGAAGGTGGAGGCCCATTCTTGCAAGAACTGGAGAAATTTGCTTTCATGAATTCCACCATGGAACTGAATCACTTCACTTGCAATCAGTAGCAAGTATTCTTAAATTCTAATACCGTCCAATTATGTAACCTATAACAGCAGATCTTAAGTACCAAACCAGTGGCAAAAACCCATCCTTCGCAATTCAGTATAATCTTTTACACTTCATGTTGGAAATGGTTTATTAATTAGTGAAATTGTCAACTTTGAACTCCAATTTTAGTGGGATCCGTACTTCGATTTTAACGGAATCAAGCATATTCACGCTCTATTCTGAGAGATGATTGACGTGATATATTTATTTATTGAAAATCATTTAGAATTGAATGGAATATTTGATGTTAATTATATTCATTTTTTACACCCTTGAAACTATAAACTAGTGAAGAATTTGATTTATTGAAAATTGACAAACACTTATCCCACGTAGGAAAGTTAGGAAATTTTGGTATGATTTATATAGTGAAAATTTTGGAATTGGGTTTGGGCCACAAAGGATACCAATAGTCTTTGCAAGGGTAGACATATATGCTATTGGGTTCAGTTCTAAGCCCAAGCGCGTGTTGTTGCCGTCCAGTCGGCACGACATGTTCCCAAGTTCAAGTCCAGTCTATGTTCGAGTTCGGGTGAATTCTTGTACTATATTATCTTTTCAAACAAAAAATGTTTAAATTTTTGAGTCAAATTGTAATTAATCAAATTCTTGAGTTCTTAATGAAATTAATTTTTATCGGCTCCTTGTACTATATTATCTTTTTGGACAAAATTTATTGAAAATTTTTAGCCAAATTATAATTAATCAAATTCTTGAGTACTTAATAAAATTAATTTTTATTGGCTTACTTTCGGATAATTTTTTGGTCTAGATCGTTTGTTAACCGACGTAACAGACGTCAATTTTCGTTGCAAAACTTTCTCGACTTTGAATCGTTTGTTATCCGACGTAACATTCTCTTTCTCGTTCTAATATTGTTTTAGAAGTGAAAACACTTCATTGAGTTCGTTGGAACTCCTGTAGATTGTTGTGTTGCTTCCGTAGGAGACGAAATTCGTTCTATTTTGAGAAACGAGTACAGAACACCTTTAGCACATGTGACGGCATCGAATTCGTTTTAAAAAAATAGTCGGTGGGCTCGAATTAACTTTCTAATCATGTTGATCATATTGTTATGCTATATATTACTGTAATTCTGTTAGTGTTTGTATATTCAGATTGTTTGAAGGAAAAATCTATACTCTGAAAAAAACAACAATTTTAAAAGAAATTTGATTTTATTCTGATTTATTCTATTTCTCTTCCTTCTTATTGTTTATCTTCTGATTGTGTTTCAGAAATGGTAACTTCCGATACTATACTTTCCAATATGGTCACAGAAAAATCATAGAAATTTAATGGGTCAGATTTTAAGCGTTGGCAATAGCAAATGCTTTGTTATCTGATAGCATTAAGTTTAGCAAAAATTCTCAAAGAAGATGTACATTCATACACAAAGCAAGAAAGTGATGTTGAGAAATTGGTTGAGGTTGATGTGTGGAAGGATTCAAATTTTCTATGCAGAAATTATGTACTCAATGGATTGGACAACATATTGTATAATGTGTATTGCAATGCGAAGCTTGCGAAGGAATTATGAAAATCTTTTGACACCAAGTAAAAAATCAAAGATGCCGGCACAAAGGAATTCATTGCCGATCTTTTTTGAATTACAAAATGGTTGATGACAAGACTGTTATATCCTAAGTTTAAGAATTCAAATCATAGTGATATCCATGCTGAAGGAATGAAATTGAGCTTATCATTTCAGGTTACTGCATTGATCGAGAAATTGCAACATTCTTGGAAGGATTTCAAAAATTATCTAAAGCATAAGCGTGAGGAAATGAAATTTGAAGATATCATTGCGTCATTGCCAGGTTGAGAATAGAAGAATAGCGATGCATCTCATTCGATGGAATCAAAAACCAACATTTTGGAATGAGGTTTTAAGACTAGTTAAAAAAGGAAGCACAATGGCAAAGGGCAAACCGGTTCTTCAAAGCCTCCTAAAAAGTTCAAAAACAATTGTTACAATTGCGATAAGGTAGAATATCAATCTAAAGACTGTCAGAAGCCAAAGAATGTCAAGGGAAAACTCATTAGGCCAATGTAACAGAACATGACAACATTTCTGATAAGGTACAAGACATAAATCTTTATGCGATCGTTTTCGAATGCAACTTAGTTGGGAACACTAGGGAATGATGGGTGGTTACTGGAGCTACTTGTCACATATGTTCAAACCCCTGGATGATCTCTACCTACAAAGCGATGGATCATGATGAACAACTCTACATGAGGAACTCTTAATCTTCCAATGTTGAAGGATATAGAAAGATAGTGTTGAAAATGACAAGTGGAAATGAGTTCACTTTAAATAAAATTCTTCATGTATCTGATATTCGAAGAATTTGGCATCTAGTTCCTTGTTAAGAAGAATGGGTTTAAGTTAATATTTGTTTTAGGCAAATTTGATTTTACAAAGAATGATATGTTTGTAGGAAATGACTACCTGAATGAAGAGCTCTTTAAGCTCAATGCAATGATTGTTGTACATCCTATTATGAATAAAATTACATCTTCTTCTTACTTCTTTGAGTCATTTAATATTTGGCATGAACAATTAGGACATGTAAATTATAATACTTTGCGTAGACTAATCAAATTGGATTTATTACCAAAGTGTGACTTAGANCGGAACATGGAATTATTTATCAAACTATAGCTCGTTGTTCTCCTCAATCTAATGGTATTTCTGAACACAAGAATCGAACATTGAAAGAGATGATGAATGCTATGTTGATAAGTTCTAGATTACCGCATAACTTGTGGGGAGAAGCTTTGTATTTAGATTATTATATTTTCAACAAATTATTACATCGAAAAATACGTAAGACACCTTATGAATTATGGAAATGTCACAAACCTAACTATAAATACTTAAAGGTATGGAGATGTTTGACTAATGTAGCGGTTCCTAAACCTAAAAAGGTTAATATATGACCTAAAATCATTGATTGTGTATTCATTAGTTATGCATATCATAGTAGTGCGTATAGATTTATTGTGCATAAATCTGAAATACTCGATGTGCATATTAATACGATTATTCAATTGAGGGATGCTACATTTTTCGAAAATATTTTTCCTTATAACATGCAAAGTGAATCAAATTCAGTGAAGAGATCTCGTGAAAATGAAGAGATTGTAGATCAAGAATCTATAAATGAAGAATAACATGAATACAGTACGATGGCAACGACAACTACCTCTAGGCCTAATTTTCTAACATATTTGTTAGAAATGAACCTCACAGTTATAAAAAGGCTATGTCAACGATCGAAACTTCATATTGGAAAGAAGTTTTTCATAGTGAAATTGAATCCATACTATAAAATAATATGTGGAAATTAGTAGGCATTCCTCCGACAATAAGCCATTGGGGGTGTAAATAGATTTTAAAAAGAAAATTAAAATAGATGGATCAATTGACAAATATAAAGGTAGGCTCATCGCTAAAGGCTACAAGCAAAATTGAGGTCTTGATTATGCCGATACATATTCACCTACTCCAATATGTATACTTATTGCAATAGCAGTATTAGATGCTTTGGATATCCATCAAATGGATGTTAAAACGACTTTTTTGAATGGTGAATTAGATGAAGAAGTTTATATGGAGCAACTTGAATAATTTATGACCTTGAGACAAGAAAATAAACTGTATCGACTTGTTAAATCACTTGATGGATTAAAGCAAGTTCCTAAGAAACAGCATGAAAATTTTGATAAGATAATGATGTCAAATGGTTTCAAAATTAACGAGCGTGACAAATGCGTATATGTCAAGAGCACTCAAAATGGATGTCATGGTATGTTTATTCGTAAATGGCATGCTGCTTATGGATAACAATGATACCATAATTCAAACTATTAAAGGGTTGTTAACAAATAAGTTTGAAATGAAGAATTTGGGGGTGGTCACCGATATTATATTAGGAATTAAATTTTTTAGAACATCTGATGGTTTCATATTATCTCAATTACACTACATTGAGAATTTTTTTGATAAGTTCAAAAAATATTATATCATTCCTATGAAAATACCAATGGATGCTGTATGCATCTCGTTTTTAACACTAGTGATAGTAAGTCTCAATTGAAATATTCTTGTATTATTAGTAGTTTAATGTATATCATGAATTGTACTCGACCTGATATCACTTATTCTAATAGTAGGCTAAGTCGATATATGAGTAATTCGAGCATGGAAGGGCAATTGTTAGAGTTTTATGGTATTTAAAAAGTACCAAAAACTTCAAACTGCACTATTTGAGATATCCAACAGTACTTGAAGAATACTGTGATACAAATTGGATATCAGATACCAAAGATACCAAGTCGACAAGTGGATATGCCTTTATACTTGGAGGTACTGCAGTATCACGAAAATCTTTAAAACGGACATGTATAGCTAGATCAATGTTGGAATCTGAATTCATTGCGTTAGATAAAATTGGAGAAGAAGTCGAATGACTACAAAATTTTCTAGAAGATATTCCATATTGGAGAAAATCTACATGCTTTATGTATCCATCGAAATAGTCAATCGACAATTGAAAAGGTATAAAATGCTATGTGTAACTATAAATCTCGACATATACGTCGTAGACACAATACCGATAGACAATTGCTCTTTACCGATATTATCTCTAAAGATTATGTGAAATCAAAAGAGAATATTGTGGATCTACTAATTAAAAGTTTGACGAGAGAGCAAGTCAAAAGTTCATCGAAGGGGATGTAGTTAAAATCAATAAAATCATCAAAAATTTCCAAGGTGGCAACCCAACGTAGTTGACTGAAAATCCCAAAATCTAGGTTCAATGGGACAACCGAATTGTGAGAAACTCAATACGCACCAGGGAGATTTTTTACTTCAACCCATTCTTATGATGAGCCAAAGCCTAAATACTGCGAAATAGATTAAGTTATGTTTTTAATGATTTTTATA